GTAGGTCAAGAAGCAACAGTTAGAACTGGACATGGAACGATGGGCTGGTTCCAAATTGGGAAAGGAGGCTGTATATTGTCACCCTGCTTATTTAACTTATATGCAGAGTATATCATGCAAAATGCCAGGCTGGATGAAGCACAGATGGAATTCAGGAGAAATATCAATAACCTCATGTATGCAGATAACAGCACTCTCATGGCAGAAAGTGAAGAGGAGCTGAAGAGCCTCTTGATGAAAGTGAAAGAGGAGACTGAAAAGCTGGCTTAAAACTCAGCATTCAAAAAACTAAGATCATGGCATCTGGTCCCACCACTTCATGGCAAATAGACGGGGAAACAATGGAAACAGTGACAGACTTCCTTTTCTTGGGTTGCAAAATCACTGCCGATGGTGACTGCAGCCATGAAATTAAAAGACACTTGTTCTTGGAAGAAAAGCTATGACAAACCTAGACAGCATATTAAAAAGCAGAGACATTACTTTGCAAACAAAGATCCATCTAGTCAAAGCTATAGTTTTTCCAGGAGTCATGTATGGATGTGAGAATTGGATTATAAAGAAAGCTGAGTGCCAAAGAATTGATGCTTCTGAACTGTGGGGTTGGAGAAGACTCTTGAGAGTCCTTGGACTGCAAGGAGATCAAACCAGTCAATCCGAAAGGAAATCAGTCCTGAATAGTCATTGAAAGGACTGATGCTGAAGCTGAAGCTCCAACACTTTGGCCACCTGATGCGAAGAACTGACTCACTGGAAAAGACCTTAATGCTGGGAAAGAGTGAAGTCAGCAGTAGAAGGGGACAACAGAGGATAAGATGGTTGGATGGCATCACTGACTTGATGGACATGAGTTTGAGCAAGCTCCAGGAGTTGGTGTTGGACAGGAAGGCCTGGCGTGCTGCGGTTCATTGGGTCACAAAGAGTTGGACACAACTGAGCTACTGAACTGAGGAAGCTCCTGAGAGTTTGAGGCTGTTTGTTAAACAGCATCATTATGGCAAAAGCTGACTACTACATAAAGGTTCAGTGATTTCATTCAGGTCACACAGCTAATGAATGGAAGAGCCAGGGTCTAGAATTTTGGTCTTTTTATACCCGGATGCTGGGAAAGATTGAAGGTGAGAGGAGAAGGGGATGACAGAGGATGAGATGGTTGGATGGCATCACCGACTCGATGGACATGAGTTTGAGTAAGCTCCGGGAGTTGGTGATAGACAGAGAAACCTGGCATGCTGTAGTCCACGGGGTTGCAAAGAGTCAGACACGACTGAGCAACTGAACTGAATTGAACTGATACTTCCAGTCCACTGCTTATCTGGAGGCTTCTGGTAACTAAGCCAGTAAAGAGAATAGAACCAGGGCTGAGGGTTCTGTGTAGGCATTACTGACTTTCTCTAGCTTGTTTTCTTTATTTGTCTATTGAAAATAGTAAACCCAGTATATACTGATGCATCTGTGCTGTTCTTGGAATTTCATCACCATACATCTCAAGTTTGGAAATGGAAAGAAAACTGTGTATTCACAATCTGTCTTTTGTATGAGCTTTAAGGAACCTTGGCAAGGCAACTAGACAGAACTTTTTCCTTTTATTGGGGGCTGTTTGATGGGTAAGCCAACTTTTTGCCAAAAGAATCTCTTTCTTAGGGACTTAATATCTTTTAGGTATATTTATGGATATGAATTTTCCTTTGAGTATTGCTTTGGCTGAACCCTGTAAGTTTTAGTGTTCAACGCTCTTATTGTATTTAATGTTCAAATAGTATGAAACATCAAAGTAGGATGTAATCTCCTTTCAAATTCCCTGTTTATCTCAAGAGTTAACTTGGAAAAAAGGATTCAAATTTCCACCAAGTTAGATTAAAAGAACACTCTATAGCTATTAATTTTATTTCACTGTGTGGAGAATGTGTTTGACTTTGGAATTTGTTGAAATGATCTCTGTGCCTGCATACCATGATTATTATTTAAATGTTCTGTGGGATTACTGTTTTCAAGAATGCAAGTTTTTGATAGCTACAAACACCTGTGAATACTTGTATTCCAGGTAAATTCACCCTACTCCAACTCCTTGGTATCATATACAAATGACTGAAAATTAGGGTACATTTGTTTTAAGAGAGAACTCTGCAAGGTCCAGCCCACCCTGGTGTCTGTCCTGCTGGTGACTGGGTTCTACTTCTTCCTCTGAAGGGATGGATGGGCTTTGTTGGTTGGCTCCTGCAGTGTTTGTTATAACAAACATGAATGAATCCTGCAAACAGGGAGTCCAAGTGGAAGAAGCAATTAATTAATATTTGACTCCTGCTGGGGATGTGTGGGAGTGGGTAGAAGAGGCTGATTTAGTTTTCAATTTTATTCACTTTTCTGCTTTCCCTTCCGCTAATTACTGCACTAGGCTCTTCTCTTTGTTGATAAAATTTGCATTTTAAAAAATGGTCTGGGAGGTATTGAATAACTACTTGGTCACAATGAATTTTTCACAAATAAAATAACACTTCCACTTCTTGCACAGATTCTGGGCCACTTCCTGGGCTATGGTGGAGGTCAGGGCCATTGCTGTGGTCGGTTACTAGTTGAATGTGTGGAAGGCCAGTCACCAGCACCTTTCTGCAGGGCTCTTCCCCCTTGCTAAACACTCCTGTCCAGCATCTCACAGTCTCTATAGCTAGGCTATGGGAGTGGGACATGTATTGGCCCATTTTCCAGATAAGGAAACTGAGACTCGAGCAGGTTAAGTCAGTGGTTCTCAAACCTGGCTGTGCCTCAGGACCACATGAGGGCTTGTTAATCATGCAGAAATGTATGGAGGGAGAGTAAGATCATAAAGGCCCTCTGGAGTGGTGAGTTTAATCACCCCTGACTCCCCTCTGGCCTCCACTGCCAGCCAGCACTTCCTGCAGCCCAGGGGCAGCTGGGGATTTTTGGGTGGGGGCGGGGGATGTCAGAGGTGGGAGTGGCAGGAAAAGGTAAGAGCCCATCAGGGAGGATGCCACCTTGTATGCCATGCTGGGATTGGCAAAAAGTCCTGCCTTCGTTCCCTGCTCACCCCAAGATGTTCTGGGACTCAGCTAGACCTCAGCTGGCCACTCTCCCTCCCCTGATCCCCAGCCTGTGCTAAGTCGTGAGGAAGACTCTGAGGGGCACATTGTCTGAAGGGAGACAGTCATGGGCAGGCTGCCTCCACTGTCGGCCTCCCCCACACTCAGAGAACACGGTAGACCAAGTGTCCTGCCCTCCTTTGGCTCTTCAGGCCTGGACTCCAATCCCTTCCCTGTTCCCACCCCTTTAAAATGTCCCTTTTTAATGCCCCTTCCTCCAGGAAGCCTTTCTTGATGTCCCCATCAGAATCATTCATTTCTATTTGTCTCCGTGGCTCTGAGCATCTCTGCTGAGCAAGCCCGTTCCGTGGGCTGGGTTCACACTGATGTCGGTCTCTCCTATCCTTCTCTCACCTCAATGGCCAGCTCCTTCTGGAAGGAGGCAGCTACTTTGGAGGCAGAAAGACCTGGGGTCAGGTCCTGGGGACTTCCTGTTGAATTTTTCCCTGGGACCTTGGAAAAACTAATGTCACCTCTTGTAGGTTCCGGTTGTCTGTTCCCATCAGTGGGGATCACAGTTGTGTCTGGACTCATCCCTTTGGCTCACAAGTCCTTGCTCTGCCAAATGCTCACCTTGTAAAGTAGGCCCAACTTTTTAACTCATGAGCCTCAGTTTCCTCATTTGTTAAGTTGGGATAGTAAGAGCACCCAGTTAGTTGGGTGAGGTGAAGATTCAGGGAGATGACACACAGCTGGTGGTGTCTGGCACAGGGGCAAGCTCTTTCAAGGCCAGCGCTTCCCAGATAACAGCCAAACCCAGCAGCTTCTTCCTTTATTGCCCCCACTGTGGAATTTGACTTGACAGTGATAGGAGCGCCCTTCTGCTCTCACCAGAAAGAAAAGAAAGAAGAACCACAGTGGCCACTGCCTGTGAATCTAGTTGCTCCCTTGGCAAACCCATCAAAGGCTCACATGAATTTTTCAGATAGGAAAACAGGCTCAGAGAAGGGAAGAAACTCGCTCAAGGTCACACAGCATGGCTCAAGGAGGGCTGGCTGGGAATGCAGGTCTCGTAACTGATGGGATTGTCTGCTGTGCTTCCCTTTGGGTTGAGTTTGCAGTTCAGGCCCTGCAGTCTCTGGGCTGGTCTGCCCCCACCCATTCATTCACTCTGTTGTTCACTCATGTGTATTAAGCAGGCGCTCCCTGTTGGCACTTCTACTGGGCATTGTGAGGGTCTCTGAGGTGGTCTGGTGATGAGGCAGGAGTTACAGTTAGCTGCAAGTTATAGAAACCCAACCAAGATAGCTTACACATCCCAGACAGTCCTAGGAGAGGCGGTCATAGCTGGGCAACCTCAAGATGTTCTGGTTTCCTGCTCCACTATCCCTATGATGTGCCATTTATCCTTATGGCACAAAATGGCTGCTTTAACTCCAGGTACCATGACAGCATTCCAGGCAGGAAAATTAGGGCGAAGATTGGGGAAAAGTGAAGGGAAAAGGACAAAAGGCCTCTGTCAAATGAATTCCTCTTTTTTATCAGAAAAAACAACTGATTTCCTGGGTGTTCCCAGCAGGGGACTCCTAATTCCATTTCATTGGCCAGAATTGGGTCAACCAGCCCAGCTAGCTGCAATGGGGTCTGGGAGGTGAATATTTTATATGAGCATACTTGCTCACTTAAAACCAAGGTTCCCCTAGGAGGGGAGATGGGGGTGAAATGGACACCCAGTTGGTCAGCAGTGTTCTTATCCGCCAAACAGACTCTCTGTCCTCAAGGAGCCCACGTTTGGGGGGCCACATACATTTGGAGCTTTCCGCTGTAGGAGGAAGTAGCAAGTAGCTGGTGTGTGCACAGGAGAGACCCTTAGCTCTCTCTTACTATCCTTGGAAGTAGGATCCTCTGTCCAATGCGATGCCGCACACAGTAGGGGCTCAGTCAATATTTATTGGGAAAAAGGGGAGGGAGTTCCAGAAAGCAGTATCGCCGGGCTTTTACCCTAAGCCAGTCTAGCTTCTGCAGCGGTTTAGGTGGGGTTCTCTGGGCCCTCAGTTAGGCCTTCACTAAATGCCTCCTCTGTGGATGAGGCGCGCAGGCGATGCAGGAGGGGGTGGCTGGGATCAGGCCCTCCCTGGGAGACAGAGCCTACTTCTGCGATGGGCTTCAGTGATGCCCGGGGGTGAGGTCCCTCCACGGAGACCTGCCTACCTCTGACACACCCTGCAGAGGGAGGGAGGGGGCTGCCCCCTTCGCTGAGAACAGTGCAGACCCCCGAGTGCCAGATGCTTCTCACTTGTCTTCCACCGAGGGCTCAGGACCACCCCTGAGGGAGGTGGTGCCAACCTGGCCCTGCCCTGCAGAGGGGGAGACAGACTCTCAGTCCCTTGCCCGTGGGCCCCCAGGCTTGTGGGTGCCAATCTTGGATTGAACCCGGGTCGCCCAGTCCCAAATCAGCCACCCTCTGCACCAATGACTGATACCACCTCTTTGAGATTTGGGGGTGGTGATCCTCCACTCACCATGGATGGGTTGCATGTGGCTGGGGGGGTGGGAGGGTGAGGAGCTCCCCAGTGGTGGGGAGGCAGATGTGGATCAGGAGGGAGAGGCAGGAAGAGGTGCCAGGATGCCAGGGGTGATGCTCCAGCAGCTCCTCTCGCGTGGGGGTCTTGGGCCCTGGGCAGGGGACCGAAACTGGGTGGCACCACCCCAAGCCTGGCACCCCTCAGCTCTCCTGATGCTGACACCAGGCTTGGCTGTGCTCACCAGAGGCAGTGTTTCTTTCCTTCCTTCTTCCTTTTTTCTGAGACAGTGCTCTTGGCTGTGGCGCAGCACTCGCTCTATGGGAAAAACTTGTTTTTGTCGGTAAACTCCAGTGCTATGACTCAGAAGACACCCAGGGAGCACCCTCCTGGTGTCAAGGGGCCGCTTGGCTAATGAGCTAATGTTTGTAAAGTGCTTAGAAGACGAAAAATTCCACGTGAGGGCTGAGGGTTTGTGCTGTTATTTGGGGGAAAGGGTGAGGAAGAAGGATGTGGTGAAGGGAAGGGGCAAACTCTGGCACAGAAGTAGCCCGGAGCCCCTGGGGTTGCGCAGGCAACCTGGTTTTGCTCGTGTTGCTGGTGCCGGCGCCTGTCTGGGCAGAAGCCCCGGCTGCCCCTTTGTTCAGAGCAGGGCAGATCTGAACCGGCTGCGTGGCTTTGATTTCGTTTTTTCCTGTAGCAGGTAGGGCAGGGGAGATGGTACTTGAGTGGTCCCTGCCCTTAAGACTGAGATCTTCCAGGCTGGGGCAGTGATCAAGTCATCGAAACAGCCCCTTCCCCAGTACTTGGCACACAGTCAGCAAGTAGCTCCTATCATTCATTCATTCACTCAACAAACACTTCTGGGACTTCCCTGGTGGTCCAGTGGTGAAGAATCCACCTGTCAGTGCAGGGGACACGGGTTTGATCCTGGATCCATGACGACCCCACATGCCGTGGAGCAACTAAGCCCGTGAGCCACAACTACTGAAGCCCGCACACCCTAGAGCCCGTGATCTGTAACAAGAGAAGCCACTGCAATGAGAAGCCCGTGCACTACAATTTAGAGAGAAGTCCCTGCTCACAACTAGAGAAAGACTGCATGCAGCAATGAAGACCCAGTGCAGCCAAAAATAAATAAATAAAATTTAAAAACAAAGAAAAAAACAACCCCAAACACTTCTACCTGTGCCAGGTACTGGCCATGGAATGAGGAACAAAGAAAACAGTCTTCTTAAGAGTTTACGTCCTGGAGGGGGAGATGACATCTAACAGATGAAGATGTCATCCGCCCTGTGATCATGATTGTGAAAGGGCAGAGGAGGAGAGACATGCAAAGTCCTGAGTGTGGGAACCACACCTGGACAAGCTCAAATAGAGGAGTACCAAGAAGGCTTTCCTAGGAGGGGTGGCTCCAAGAAAGAGTAGGTATTTCCAGTTCCCAAGCAAAGAGGGAGAGACAGCACATGTCAGGCAGGGCAGCAGCATTAATTAACATATTAATTAATTAATCAATCCAACAAACCCTTAGCGCCTACTATGTGCCTTGCACTGGGGATACAGAGGTGAATAATTCAGGCAAAAATCCTGACAACTTCCTTCCCACAAAGCTCATGTTCTGTATAAAAAGCAAATTAAGAAATAAATTTACAGAGAAACTATCAGCTAGCAATAGGAATGGTGGTAAAATTAAGCAAGGTCATAATGGTAGAGGGGAGGCTCTAGGGAGGCTTCCCCAGATTGTGTAGTGACCAGGGAGGGACTTTTGGAGGAGGTAACATTTCAGCTGAGGCTTGGATGATGGAAGGAGCCAGTCAAGAGTGGATATGGGCAGTGCAAAGGCCCTGAGGCAGAAATGAACTCAGTGTGGTCAAAGCACCAAAAGAGGACAGGACAGAGGCTGCAGCACTGAACCCCAAGGAGAGCAACAGGGGACATTCAGGTAGGGTCATGTACCATCAGCATTGCTTTCATGTCAAATAAATAAACTATACTATAGCAGCTTAAACAGATAGGGGGTTCTGACTTGGACAACAACAAATGGCAGGTGGGGTGGGGGGTGGTGAGAAATCAGGGGGTGATATAGAGGTTTATAGATGCCACCAGGTACCCTGGCTCTTTCTATCTTCCTTTTCACTATCCTCAGCAGGGTGGCCTTGAAAATGCACATTGCTGCCTCATGGTCACAATATGGCTGCCGAACCTCTGGGCCTCATGTCTGTGTTCCAGGCAGGAAGAATAAGAAAGAGATAGAAGCCAAAGAGCAAAGGGTGAAAAGGCCTTTTCCTTGCCCAACTCCATCTCCTTATTCAGAAAAGAATTGTTCCCCAGGGACTTCTGTTCCCTTTCATTAGCTAGAACTGGGTTACCTGGCTGCCTCAAACTGCAAGAGAGGCTGGGAAAAAAGGAATTTTACAATTTTGCTCATCTCTACAGTAGAGAAAAGAGAGAGAGAGAGGGACTGGAATGCTCTCTGGGTTGCCAATTCATAGCTTTGGCCAAAGGCCCTCCCTCCCTAAAGAGAAGGATTTGGTGAATTCTGGGGTAAGGAGTGGGCAGGGATCAGACAATGGACTGTGGAGTTTACCGGAGGGCCACAGGGAGCCACGGATGACTTTTCAGGAGGGGTGACATGGCTGTATTTGCACTGAAGCTGTGCTATGTAAGCTGAGTACCTGCAGTGTGTTGTTGAGGAGACACATTCCACCCTCACTTTGGGGACTTGAAGGGGGGGCGTCCTCAGGGCTCAGGTTAAACTTGAACTCCTCAGAGAAGGGCCTCCAGCTCCCAGCTCTCTCCTTTGCTCACCTCCCGCGCTGCAGCTGTCCGTCGGCTGGCACCCAGTGACTGTCCACAGATGGCTCCTGGTCGGCCCACAATATTGCACTGGGACACAGAACAGAAAGTGACTCGCACTGACACCTCTCCTGCTTGTCAAACATGGGTTTCAGGTCCATCATCTCTGGTTTTTCTGCTAGAACTACCCCACGGGGCGGGCCTTTTGTGCCCCCTTTACCGTGATGGGGAAACAGCTCAGGGAGAAGACTTTTGCAAGGGGGTGAAGGGCTGGGTTCTGCCACATTGAGGGAGACGCTGGGCATGAGACATCTTTGCCCCTGGAACTCTTTCTCATACCACTGTGTGCAAGGTGGGATGAGAGGGATGTGTATGTGTGAGAGAGAATGGTGGCGCATCTAGAAGACAGAAGACCCAGGCCCAGTCCCTGGGGAGTTTAACCTCCGGGGCTGCCTCCTTTGTACCAGCTTCCTCTGACTTGCTATGTGACTTCCGGCAAGTCCCCGAACCTCTCTGGACAAATTCCTTTTGGGGGAGAATGAAGAGATTTGCACAGGAAGGGTTCTAGATTTTCCCACTCCACCCATCAAATTCACTCTTTGAATTTCAGAGATTCCAGTCTACACTCAATGTCTGTCTTTAGCTCAGAAAATAGTCACCGTCACCTTCCCTGTCTTAGAGCCTCATGCTGTACTCTTTCAGACACAAGTAATTATTTGTGCAGTTAAATCTCCCAAGTCTGTCTCCCTGCCCGGACTGTGTGCCAGCAACGACGGAGGACCATGTCTGTCTTCATCCCTGTCTTCCAAGAGATTAGCTCAGGGTTTGGCACAAAGTAGCTGCTCACGAAACAGTTTGTGATGCTGCTGCTGCTGACGGTGGCGATGATGACGATGAAGATGAAGAAGAAATGATGGTGGGAGACACAGCTACTGGAGTGGAGGGAGCCCCAGCCCGGCCGTCGGCGTCCTCAGCCCCTTCCTACCAGCAGGCCGCGGAGGCTCCGTATTTCCCTTAAGAGACCGCCCAGACGCCTCAGTGCCCAGGCCGCGCCCCTCTGGGGAGAACTACAGTCCCCAGAAGGCCGTGAGGGGCGGTGCTGCCGGCTCTCGCTCCGCCCGGGCACACCACGGAACGCGGCATCATGGGAGTTGTAGTCCATCCCCATCGCCCCGGGCGCGCCGCCGCCCGCGCGGAGGTACGCCGAGCCGCCGGGCACCCAGGCACCCGCGGGGCTCGTTGTCGGCGTGGGAGTGCAGGCCCTTCTCCTGGGTGGAGATCACACTCTTGGAAGACCCTTTGCATTAACCCTCAGGACGCTGAAGACCTCTAGATCACTCGCTCGCATTCCCCCGGGAGCCCTTTAAGGGGCGGAGCCGGGCGCCTGCCCCCATCCCTGAGTCACCCACCCTCCTCTCACTGACAGCCCCCAGCGGCGTCCGAGCCCGCGCTATAAAACCTGTGATCTCACGGAAAACTTTCCAGTCTCCGTTGGCCAAACGTTGTCAATTGTGTGTCTGGTGCTTTGGGGTTAGAGTGCGCATGAGAGGGAAGGATCACATTTAACCATCAATAACACATAATGATGACCCCACCTGAATCGTGGGGAGGGCGGCCCAGGGGCCTGAAAAAGGCTCAAGATACTGGACGGTGTTATTAAGACTGGGCCCGGGCTGGCCAGATCAGGAGCAGGTGAAGGTGTTCCAGTCGGAGGGAACAGCATGAGGGAGGGCTCTCACTCAGGCTTATTAGAGGGGTCTGGGGGCTGAGGCCAGTGTGAGAGGTGGTGAGTTGAGTGGGGGGCCTCTGAAGGACCTGGAATCACGGGGAGCAGTGTTCATTTGATCTCAAATGGATGGGTGGCTGTTTCTCGGGCAGGATGTCCGGCCTAAGGGGTCAGTGGCGGAGCCTGGCCCAGCCTATGGGACCCTGTTTCCGGGTCCTGGCTTGTTCCAGGGCAGGGCTGCAGCAGGAGCCAGTCTGCTACCGTCGTGGAGCTGTTCCAGGAGTCAGGCAGGGAGACAGCGGAATTGCGGCCTGGGGGCGGAGGAGGCTCAGCATCCCTGTTACTGGGAGGGGAAACTGAGACTTTGGCAAATTTCTGCCGAATGAACTTCTGTGTGAGATCCAAGAGGAACCTTCTCCTCCTCCGACTCTCCCAACTTTCAGGGACCAGCCCTGGGAAATAGGGGAGGTTATTTTCACACCCTCCCTCCCATCCCAGATGTGGCAGAAGCAGGAAGGATTCAGGCCAGATGTTGGGGGTCTGCAGGCCCAGCTAGTTGCATGGGGGTGGGTTGGGGGGTGTGTGTTTGGATCTCTGCTGTTGAAAATGAGCTCTGCCTGGGTCTCCGCTCTGGTTTGCTCTGCTCTGGCCCTGTGGCCAAGAGACCCTGGGGACGCTCTGGGCTCTGGTCACATCTACAGGGATTGGCAGGAAGCCCTGCCTTACTGCTCACAGCACGTGGGTTTTTTGCTTACAAGGTAATCCTGGCAGATTGTTCTCAGCCTATTCTGTTGCCTCTGCCTGGAACCCAGGCCCCCTAACTGGCACCTCAGGCTCCTGGACTTATGAGGAGTGTTTTGGATTCTCGAGAAAGTCCAATAGGAACGAAGCTCCCGGGATCCCCTCAGAAACGTTGGGTGTCTGTGGTCCGGGTGAGGATGGGGTCATGTCAGAGTGGCCACGTCCCCCAGATCAGAGGCCTGTCTGGCTGTGGTTTGTCTTTGATTAATAAAAAATGGGGAAGCGAATCAATGACCCCTTCACAAATGCAATTCAGATGGTAGGGAAAAAATCTATCTTGAGGGTCGAGGGCCTCTTCTTCATGAGAAGATTGGGACACACAGAAAGTGTTGGCCTGAGACCTTACCCCCACACCCCCTGAAGTCCTGGTGGAAACTGCACATTTGTGCTTGAACAGGGGCGGGGACTCTGAACATTTAAGTTAAAAGATTAGAATATGTGGGGCCACGAGGAGGAGGAAGGAAGACCAAGGAGGGTGTTTGTCACTCAGGTCCCTTCCTTGGGGACTGTCTCTATCTGGCTCCTCACCCTTTTGATGGGGCTATTCTGGGAACCAAATGGTTTTCCCAGGCTCCTGCTAATCTGGCTGTATCAGAGTCTACCTGGAGACTGGTGAAATGCAGATTCCTAGGCTCCTGTCCTGAGACCCTGGTGCAGAGGATCTGAAGAGGGGTCCAGGAATAAGGCTTTATACACAGCTCCCCAGGCAGTGGTGATGGGCATCTGAGTGTGGAGCCAGTGGGCTGGAGTGAAAGGCAGCAGTGAAGCATTGAAAACACAGCTCCGGGGTCACACAGACCCAGGCTCCAGTCCCAGCTCGGCGCTTACTGTGGGACACTGGGCAGGGGACGTCCTTCTCTGGCCCTCGAGTCCTTGTCTGGAAATGGTGATAACGTGGTGTGCAGCTGCTTCCCGGGGTTGCACGGGGTGTGGTGTGCATATTGTTATTATTATTGTCATGGTTCCTAGAAGGGCAGAAGAGGAGGTGACAGCTTTTGAATTGACTGCCATCTAAATGACTCCTGTTCTTATTGCGTTGTGTGCGCACTGTGGAGTGGGTGCCCTTCTCTTGTGCGTTGGGGGAAACCACCCTCTGGATCAGAGCCAGTGGGAACTGGAGACCTGTGGGCCTTGTTCTACCCCGTCTGAGTGTGGCCTGTGGGGCGGGGGTGGCAGGTGAGCCCGTGGAGGAGGCTCTGGGATGCCTGGCCAAGGTGGGTGTGATGACCCTGCTCAGTTCTCCTGGGGACGCCCCTCCTGACCATCCAGGAGGCTTCCTCCTTGGTCACCTCCTTCAGGCCATCTGCTTGGCTCCTATGGCTGGGCAGCGAGGCTCCTAGTGATATGTTTACTCATCCGTTTCCTCTTTGGGGCTGAGTTCTCTGAGGACGGCCCTCTTGTCTACTCTTTCCACTTTGGTCAGAGCCAAACCTTGCCTGCAGATCCACTACTGGGGATGGGGCTGGGAACATGGGATGTGGCTGTTGTTTTTACCTGCCCAGCACCCCAGCCTCACCCTCAGTTTCCTTCAAGTGGCTTCCTCATCCTCTGCTGGGGATGAGCCTGTGATCCTGGCCTGGCCATCTCCCTGGCCAGAGGGCTTGGTGGGTGTCATCATATGACTCAAGGAAGGGCAACAAGACATAATCCTGAGACGTGGGCTCAGATAAAGGGGAATGTGAAAATCTTTTCTGCTGGTGGTCAGAGTTGGTAAGGTATAAGATACATGGTCAACCATCAGTGGACAGCCTGGGAAAAGATGAAGCCAACATAATAGAGAGCAGTGCTGAGAGCTGGAGAGAGACGGAGAAAAAGAAAGGCCATTGTTTGAACACTTGGAGCCAGCCTTGCCTGCAGCAGTCTCTGCCTTCTGGTTTACAGTAGTTTGAGTTGGGTTTCTGTACTTGCAACTAGTTCTGACTGATGCAGAAAGCTCATTTCACTCATTCTTCTGTCCATCTGTCCACACAGCCATCCCACATTTACTGAACTTCTGTCAGTATGCCAGCGCCTATGCTGGAACCTCAGCCCTCAAAGACCAAAGGGGGAGGTGACAAGGTGACACAAGCTTCTTACCTCGTGGGAAACTGGGAACTGCCACCAGAGGTGAGCCCTGAAGGCTGTGGGTGTGAGAGTCTCTGTGTTGTGGGGAGGGGGAATTCGGGCAGGCTTTGCAGAGGAGGTGATCTTTGGGCTGGGCTTTGAGGCACAGGCAGGATTTCACTGGCTTGAGAGTCAAGGAAGGGACTCTTCAGAGCAGAAAGAGTCACAAAAAAGCAGGTAGCAAAGGCCAGGAACACTTGAACAAAGCTGCTTGTGGTGGAGGGGTTGAGAGTTTGTGAACTGCTGGGACATGTGTCATAGTAATACTGTTACTGATGATCTGTAGCTAACCTTTGTTGAGTGAGCACCGTGGTAGCACTGGATTTTATTTTCTCATTGATTCTTTCTGCCTCCCTGAAGGGGAAGCACATACATTATCTCCATTTTATAGGCAAGGAAACTGAAGCCCAGAGAAGTGATGACCTCAAGGCTTTGCAAATACCAGGTGTGCCAGCTGGTC